AATATATTTGTATTATTATTTATCTATATTTATATTGATTTATTTATTTATTTATATTTATTTATTTATTTATTTATATATATACACCTACCTGCCACCTCATAAAGAATTCTTCATCCTTATTTTCTTTTTTTTTGCAAGTTAAACAAAATTCTCTTTTTGCAATAAATTCAGGATCGTTAAGAGGTGTACGTACACCCGAAATTGAATTCTTATAACTTAACCATCTTTGTAATTCATCAAAAGGGAATAAATGCTCTAATAATAATATACATATATATACACAATAAACCCTAAACCCTAAACACTATATTTAAACTCAGTACATTATTAGCAACAAAATAAATGGTCTATTGTATACCCCAAAACCCTAAACCCTAAACCCTCATATATGTAACCTAACAACACTAACCCTAAACCCTAATAAACCCTAAAACACTAATTGATGGAGAGCTTACCGTAGTAGAAACGGAGAGCAGCAGCAGATACATCTGCGTCATTAGGGACTGGTTGGGGTAGCAGGAGTCCCATGTTTCTTAGATATATGCGGTCTAGGGTTTAGGGTTTAGGGTTTATGGTTTACGGTAGTTTCCCGCAACCCTGCGGTACCTCCAGAGGATATCCGTAAAATATAAAGTTATTAATAAATAAATTCATAAAAAGAAAAAGATAAATGCATTTTATTTTGTTGTTTTCTTCTCTTTTCTTATTTATTCTTGAGGGTTTACGGTGTATGCATACACTACACAAGACTTGCAGTCAGCAGCTTCCCTATGGTTCTGCTGCGTAAAAGAGAGGGAAAATAGGAAAAAGACGGCTAAGAAGAACAATTAATTCCTTTTATTTCTCCCAATTAATTATTTTAAACAAAAATAGGACAATAAAACAACGAGAAGGAGGGGCCCCCTGCGTCGTTCCTTCCCACCGTCCTTCAGCAACGGTGGTGACGGTGTGTTTGGGTTGTTCTTCTAGCACAATCTTTCTCTTATTTCCCCTTAATTTAATGCAATTTTCTCCCTTTAAATTATAAACAAAAATAAAAATATAAATAATTCATTATTTATTTATTTACATAGAAAAACTAGATTTAAATACTACTAAAATAGGGTATTGGGGGGTGGGGCCCCCCCGAGTGTTGTTGCATGCAGGGGCGAGTGCTGTATCTGGTGGTTCGTATTTTTACGTAAATAATCCCTAAAATGTTAATTTATTTGTTATTTAACTATAAAAAATGATTAACAACTGTAAAATATTAATATATATTGCCTTAATTGCATATTTTAGCCGCAAGCCGCTATTGTATTGGCCGCATGCGATCACATGCTCCCTTGAAGAAGAAAAGAATGGCCATAAAAGAACAATAAATAAATAATAAAATAAATTAATGAATTTCCTTCCTTTTTATTCATTAATTATTATTATTTATTATTTAATTAATTAATAAATTAATTTATTTCCTTTGTTAATATTACGTGTGTATGTTTTAATTAATATGTCTATTTATACTTGGATATCTACTATGTGCATAAATAAACAACTAAATAAAAGATAATTTATTATTTATTAATAATAAATTAAATAAATAAATAAAAAAGAAGAAAATACATAAATAAATAAAATAATTAATTGAATATTTTTTTTCATGAATTTGTTTGGCTAACAGTCGGGCATGGTCTAGTGGCTATGACGTCTGCCTAACACGCAGAAGCACCAGGGTTCGATTCCCTGTGCCCGTATTTGTATATATATAATTTATTTATATATTTATTTTTTTTTTCTCTAGTCTTTCTCTTCCCCTTTCCCTATTTATATTATAGCATATTCAATGTTGCATGCAAAGCCCCATGCGCTATACAAACAAATGTCTTCTTCCTTCTTGCTCTCTCCGTGTTACTGCATGCGCTACCTAACCCCATCTAGACACTCCAACTATAACAAATAAAAGGGCAACGGTCTGCTGACGCACTCTGCTGCTGCTGCTGCTGCAGCAGCAGACACTTCTGCTGCAGTTGTAGCAGCAACATATACAAATAGGCTGAGGCGTGAAACGCAGATGCTCTATCACCGTACTTTATGCTGCTGCTGCAGGTACAGCAGCAGCAGCAGCAGCAGCAGAAGCAGAAAACTTTCGTATCCTTCTGCATGCAAAACAGAATTAAGCTTTCTGTTTGTTTTAGAGACAAAAGTTATCACTGCAGCAAACAGCAGCGGCTACGCGAGGTGTATGCACACCCTGTGGCTGCATCCAGCTAGCCACCCAATCAGCTAGCTAGCTAGCTAACTAGCTAGCTAGCTAGCTAGCTACCGCAAATCGATAGCATACACCTGGGACTTCTAAAGGGAACTGCCCTTACACCCCAGAGCAACGATTTGCGACACCCCGCAGCCACAGCCCCATGCATGCAGAGGAGAAGAGAGGAGAGAAAAGAAAAAGAGATTGGGAAGGTACTACTAGATAAAAAGGTATTATTGTATAATCAGGTATTATTCAACAAAAAGATTCATTTATTTCTGCAAGATAATCATTTTTGTATTTAATTCATATACAAATATACAAATATATATATGTATGTACATATACTATATCCTTATACATATACATACAGATATATACATTTAAATAAATAAATGAATAAATAAATAAATAAATAAATTAAATAAATAAATAAATAAATAAATAAATAAATAAATAAATGTCCTTATATGTTAATTCTTAAGAAAGGTGAGGGTAAGAGGTGACCCTGCTACGGTGTATGTATGCTGGAAAAGTATTTGTGTTTCTTCTATTCTTTTTTCTTGTGGATAAATTCTTAATGGTCTTCTTAGACAAGTTTCTATATAAGATGCTTCTTCTGTTAATACATTAGCAAGAGAAGACTCCGTAGATGACGCATACATTGGCACCTCATCGTGCTGCTGCAGCTGCAACTGAGCATGCAAATAACACACATAACAAGAAAAACAAACTAGGATTATAATTGACTCAAGGGTTTAGGGTTTGGGGTTTAGGGTTTGGGGTTTAGGGTTTACGACGCGCTCGCACCTCCTTTCTTAGCTTCTGTACGCGATTGGCTATCTGCAGAAGTCCACATATACACAAAGCAGCACTAGCAGCAGCTACAGCAGCAAGCAGTCGCCAACCCAGGTGTTACAAACAGCAGCAGCAGCAACAACAACAGCAGCAGCAGCAGCAGCAGCACACCTCTCTTGCAATAGCCTTGCGCTGCAGAGCGGGATCTGCTGTGAAGTCCATGATGACGACGGCAGATCTGAAACAACAAAACACAACACTAAACCCTTAACCCTAAACCCTAATTCTAAACCCTAAACCCTAATTCTAAACCCTAAACCCTAATTATTAACCTAAACCCTAAAAAAGGTCCATGCAGATGAATTGGTGCTCAGATAGACTCCAAACAATAGTAGGAAATCCTAGAATGTGCGTGAGGACCACAACCCTAGTCCCTCAAACCCTAAACCCTAAACCCTCGTCCTACCTGTCGCAATGTACAGCAAGGTTAGGGTTATCAACAGTAGGTAGTTCCCTCTGTAAGGATGCGTCCTCAGCAGAGAGAGTAATGCCCGCCAATTCTATTTTTCCTTCCTTATCGAACATGCGCAGCTGCTCCTGCGTGCAACGCTTTGCTGCTGCCTGCAGCTGCTGCATCGCCTTGCCTACACGAGGGCCAAGGGCCTTAAAGTTTAATGTAAGAGATAATGGTGCCTCCGTCTTGTCAACTGAGACCTCCATCTCGCACGCGTTCAATTCCTCCTACAATTTATTTACATATATATACACACACACAGCATACACCACTTGATACTGCTTGTGCTGCTGCTTCTGCTGCTGCTGTTACCGCTGCTGGTGCTGGTGCTGTTGCTGTTGTTGTAGCAGATGAGATATGCCTAGCAGATATACGTAACCACATAAATACAAGATATATTTGCTACAAAAATACATGTAAATGTATAAGACTAACTTTAATATAATTATCTGTCTCCAACAGATCGTTAAGATGTTCCTCAGATGCAACAAGACAACGCAACAAAGAGACAGGAGTCTTCAAGGAGACCCTGCGCCTCTCTCTTAATGTTCTCCCCATGACGATAACTGCAGGAGAACACAAGACAAATAAATACAAGACAAATACATAAGCCTTTATCTTTTATTTATGTGTTTTGTCTACGTGTATATATATACGGTGTTGCATGCACATGCATGCGTCGAAAAGCCCCGTGAGGACGAACCGCTTTGCATGCGTTTCATTTTTTCTTCAACTCTTTCGTCGCGGAGTTCTTCTTTAGGAGGAGGCAGCAGCAAGAAGTGGACACTTTCAGCATATAAGGAATGACCTGCAGGGAGGCCCTTCTTTAAGGCTTGGTAGAGGAACTCGCTTAAGAAAGGAGTTAAAGGAGCCTATAGAAAACCCAAACCCCAAACCCTAACAAACCCTAAACGCCCAAACCCTATCAAACCCTAAACCCTAACGAACCGAGAACGCCAAACCACCCTCCTCGTTATATGGGATTCACAAATGTGATGCAACAGAGTTTAGGGTTAAGGGTTTAGGGTTTACGGACCATGTACACAACGGTCGTCAGCAGCACGGAGAAGAGGGTTTGCAGGGCTTCAAGTGCTTCCTCAGGACCTGAACCTCCTCTCATGCGGTCTCTATTCAGCCTCAAATACCTTAAAAGAAGAAAAAGGACAAACGGATGGAAAGGAAAACCAATATAACTTATGCCTCCCCCGAGGGATAGGGCTTAGTTAAGGTTTAGGGTTTAATTACCCACCAGTTGGTGAGCAGCTCGAGGAAGGAAAGGAGTTGCGGCACCAGAGTGTACAGTCGATAGTTGTCGATCTCTTCCGTAACAAACTGCAGCAGCAGAAACAGAAGCAGCAGCAACCGCAGCAGAAATTTAGTAATACTATAACAACATACAGGCACATATAGCAGTAATACAATATTATTATAGCAAACAAGAAACAGCAATACTATCTTTGTACCCAATAAGTACAATATTATTACACTATCTAGTAGTCATATAATGCTCTTAAGATAAATAGGAGCAATATAATAATAATTGCAATACTATATTTCTGCATGTACACATCAACTGTTTAAGTAATCCATTAAAGTATAAATTATTATATTTATTACTTAATAATAATAATTGATTAATTACCTTTATAATACGTTGCGTCTCCGACAAAATCCACCTATCCATGCAATTTTTTCTGTTTTTTTCAGCTTCTTCTGTTGCAACTTCAAACTTCTTGCCGCTTGCAGATTCATAACGAATTACCTCTTGAATTAAAAACCTAAAAAACATATTTAACAGTTAACAGCAAAAGTACATTGCATGCAACAGCAGCAGCAGCGAAAACAGTACCACTCTTCGTCGCCAATGCCAGCAGCAGCAACAAGAGCAGCCAACATCAGCAGCAGCAGCGTGTGACCTTACCTTGTAGCATGATACCAGGGCAGAAGTACATCCTTAATGATGTCTTTAACACCTTCTTGCTTAAAGTTAAGTGTTTCTCCCTTTACAACAGGAGAATTTAATAAATAGAGACGCAAAGCATCAGCCCCCAAGGAGTCCAATACATCGGTAATAGGTGGATAATTCTGCAGCCTCTTGCTCATCTTCCTCCCGTCAGCAGCCAACACCAATCCTAAGAGCAGCAGCAGGAACACCAGCAACAGCAACAGCAGCATCAAAACGCACTTCTTCAAATATCTATACAACATGCAAGTACCTAGTGCCACAACAAACTCGATAACGCGAAACTTCCTCCCACAGCTGCTGCTGCTGTAGCTGCTGTTGCTGTTGCTGTTGCTGCTGCTCCTGGTGTTTAGCGCACCATTTGCGATAAGATTTTGGAAGGGAGGTTTGTCAAAGAGAGATGTTGAAAGAACAAGCATTGTGTAAAACCACCCTCGAGTCTGGTCAAGGCCCTCAGCCACAAAGTTCGCGGGGAAAGTTTCCTCAAACTGCAGCAGCAACAGCAGCAATTGCAGCAGCAATGATACCAGCAGCACCGATAACAGCAGCGGCAAAACAAACACAGGCAAGCAAGGACAAACAGAAACAAGCAACGACTGCTAATAGACTGTAGCTCGACGCAGCTACCCAGCTTCTGTAAAGCAACAAGAGCAGCATCAGCAACTGTCTTACTCGCTTTTGGTTCTCGAAGGGATAGTGCTGCTGGGCATAAGGCATAGAACCGCTCTCAAACCAGCAATCAAAGACCTGCAGCAGCAACACGGTGCAGCAGCAGCAAGTAGAACTGCCGTTTAGCAGCAAGAGAAGGACCGAGTGGCAGCATCAACAGTAACAGCACCAGCAAGAGTAGCACGAGCGCAACGAAAAAGGCAGCTGCACCCAGAGAGGCACAGCAGCATGCAGAGCTCCCAGCAGCAGCAGACCCAGCAGCAACAGCAGACCACTCACCTCTTCAACTCTTTGAAGGGGAGGGAACTCAGGGCCTCTTGGATCAGGAATTTTGATGTCATCGATTGCATCGCGGTGTAAATCAGGCAAAGGCCGTCCTGCGTATTTCTCTAACTCGGCAGCACTTCCTTCACACAAACAAACAAGCAACCACACAAGCAGAGAATAAACACCCTTGCAGGAACAGAAACAGCAGCGTTCGCAGAGGCAGCATGTGCAGTAGCAGGTTCAGCAGCAGCCCTAGCAGCAGCAGCAGCCGCAGAATCAAGAAGTTACCTATGCATACGATCTGGGAGAAATCTGCGCTGACCCAAAGCGGGAGAGGCGTTCCCCAGAATCTGTTTCTGCTGATACACCAATCCTTTGCCTCAGCTAGCCAATTATTAAATCGTTTATCTTGCAGCACTTGAGGGACCCATCTGCTGCAGCTGTTGCAGCGCTGCAGCTGCTGCCTTATGTCCTCAACACGGAGGAACCAAGAAGGAACCGCCTTGTAAATTAAAGGCGTATCTGACCGCCAACAGAAGGGATATGCGTGCACAATTGTCCATGCAGCTAGCAAAGAACCACGTTCTTTAAGGGCCTCCTGAACCTTTTTGTTGCTTTCTTTAAAGTGCAAACCTTGGCAGAAGGGAACATCTCCCGTCACTATACCACTCTCGTCCAATGGGCATGCAAGAGGGCCCCCAACTTGTATGATCCTGCATGCAAAACATCATCAAAACGAAATTCGCAAAACCTAAACCCTAAACCCTACAACTCATGCATAGTTGAATGAGCTCAAGTGTCGTTGTTCCTCTCGAATAATGACACTTGCTGCTCCACCTACGCCTGGCTGCTTAGTCCTCTTCTCAACTATTATTTTCCTATTATTATTCGAGTAAATAAGTAATTGTGTAATTATTTAACCGCATAATTCGAAGAGGAAAACACTCACTTCTGCTCAATGCAAACGCGGTAGTCGTCCTCACCAAAGGCAGGAGCGCAGTGGACAATACCAGTACCTGCAGCAGCAGCAGTAGTAGTAGCAGGAGCAGCACACGCAGTAGAAACAACAACAGATGACATCTTTATGATTTAAGAAGCAAATAGTGCACTCGGTCGCCTCAGACCCAAGTAATCAACCTTCGACCCTAAACCCCAAGACGTAAAGAAAGTGACACAACTATGGACCCTCAATTGTGGGCAGCAGGCGGCATGTTCTTAGCAAGTTTACAAGGTAAGAGGCGGGAAGCCAATTAGCGTTTATGGTTTACCTGAGTCTGAAGTAACAAAGTTGTCCACACAAACCCTAAAGGCTGACGGGAAATCGCCCGAGGCAAAGCAGTCGAAGACGGGGGCGTACGACAAATCTGAAGCACCAACAGAAGCAAACCACTAAACCCTAAACCCTAAACTGATGCACATAAGGTGCATCACAGAGCAGCAGCTAGCGCCGACAACAAACAAACGTAGACCAACCGAGTTAGACAAGTCGACAGACAAGCAGTTTGCTGCAGCAGCTCGTCTGTGTATGCTGAACCGCAAAAGCCCAACCGTCAACTCACTTCGCAGCTTTTCTCCAGGGAACTCTTCCCGAATTTCAACATCGGCGGCAACATCCAACTTCAGCTGAACACAGCAAATCGAAAACCCTAATAATTGGCGTGTTGGCATTCTAGGGTTTCACAGTTTAAAGTGAGCAAAGCAAACCCTAAACCGTAAACCCTGATTTGTCAGCAACATCTACGGGTTAGGACCTATAAAATGAGGCCTAGCAACAAGGAACCCTAAAAGCTTACATGCTTGCACATAAATTCGAGGCGGTCCTTCGCGAAGACCAGGGTGCTGCACTCAAGCCCCAAACAACTCTTGGCCACTCCCTTAAACCCTAAACCCTAAAGTCTAAACCGTACATCCCGAAAAGAACTTAGCACAGGCATCTGAGGCACAAACTACTTCGCTAACCCTATATCGTAAACCCTTACCGTTTGCTGGGTTTAATGAAGGCCTTGACATAAGTCATCGTTGGGTGTACACACAGCGCCAAGTTCGCGGGGAGTGTCCAAGGGGTCGTTGTCCAAATTGTGAATTCCACTGGTTCCGCGGAAAATGAAGTGTCTGTACACCTGAAGAGCAGCAACAGCAGCAGCACGAACTTTAGAGCAACAATAGACAGCGGCCGCATCCGCAGCATCAGCACCAGCTTTGGCGGCAGCAGCAGTAGCAGGACTTGAACGACGCAGCAGACAGTGCAGCGAGTCAGAGGAGGGCTGTAAGTTTTAGACTTGGGATTACGGTTTAGGATTAGGGTTTACGGTGTTGGCGACTTACTTGAAGGCGACGACAAGGCAGGGGTCGCTGACATCCTTGTAGTTTTGATTTGCTTCAAAGTTCGATAGAGGAGTGCTGCATGCAGTGGAGAAGGGCATCACCTAAAGCAGCAACAAACAGCACAGCATACACTAGGAAACCCTAATGCCTGTTGCTTGCAACACACAAATCGAAGCGATTTAGAGCAATAACCAGTGCCCACGCATATCCTGGTTAGACGTATATAGTGCGTATCCAGTACAAATACAGTTCAAGTGCGTGAATCAATAGATGAAGGATTTTATATATACGTAAGGGAGACAGTGAGAAAGAGAAGCGGGTGAGAAAGACAAGGAAAGAGATAAAGAAATAAGGAAAGAAAGTCAGGAAGAGCGAGACTGCGATGTGAATCCAGGGTATACCCGGAGTGTGTGTATGTATATGCAGTGTATATGCAGCTGAAACGGAAATTTCAACATAAAATAGTCACCTTGAATGCTCTGTAAATTCTCTTCTTATCGAAGAGTTGTTTAAATGCCCACCAAACAGACTCCATAAAATTTCTGTCCATAGTTCTGTAGCCGCCGGCAAAGTCGATCCAGCGCCCAGTTCGTTCTGGTAGCACACAAAACATAAATTAAGTAGAATAAATCAAAATAAATTAATTTAAATAAAATATACTCGACAGACCATGCACAGAAAACCGCATTATCAGGCGCATTAAATATACCGGGCAGCACCGGCACCAGTCGAAGCAGCGGCAGCAGACTCACCAACAATTTTCTCCCACTCCGCTGAGTAGCGCAGCACAATTGACCTGCGGAGAAAGCAGCAAAGGCGGCAACAGCAACAGTCGACGCAGCAGCAGACGCAGCGACAACAGTAACCCAAACAGCAGCAGTCGCAGCCAGTGGAGCAGCAGGAGCTGCTTCAAACGCAGCAAAATCGGCAACGGAAGCAGCAGCAACAATCTAAGCGTCAGCAGTAAACATAACCACCGCAGCAATCGAAACAGCAGTAGCAGCTGAAACACGACTGCAGCTGTTTGCTATTGTTTTCTACTCTGCTGCGTGCTGTCCCTTGAATTGTGTGAGATCTAGTGGTTAACGATGCTAAAAGAGCAAACCCAAAGGACGGATTAGGGTATGCTTGCCGGCTTGCTTGCTTGCATGCTGCACCACCACATCATTCTGATACTATTATAAGGGTTTACGGTTTAGGGTTTCTATGCTTGCCTGCATTGTTGGTTATACTGGGGTATACCATATTGCAGCACTTGTTGTCTTGTGTTGATATTGAGTAATTTATCGATTTCGAATTCAATGGGGAGTCCGTGGCAATCCCAACCGAATCTTCTCTCTACATAGTGCCCTCTTTGATGGGCAAAACGGCAAACAACGTCCTATTAACAAACGATACAACAACACAGCAATGATACAATTAGCCTCATAAATAATAAAAGATGTAGATTAAATGAAGAGAAAGCAACGTGCTGCTGCAGCAAAGAAAGAAGGTAAATGCAAGGGAAGGCAAAGTTCAACAGCAACGCAAACATCAGCATTACCAACAGCAACAGCACCAACGCAGATGATCCTCAACAGCAACACAAACACCCATCATCATCAGCAGCAAACAGGGAGAAAAATACACACAAACGCAGCAGCAGCAAGAAAGCGTACCTTGATGGTGCCTGCAAGTATATGTCCATAGTGAGGAAGTCCTGTAGCAAAAGGAGGACCATCATAGAAAGAAAAAGGTTTTCTTCCCTTTGCAAGTTCTAAAGACTTTGAGAATATTTCTTTTTTCTTCCACATTTCTAACGTCGATTCCTCCTGTTGAGGAAAAGAGGGCCGCTCCTCCACTGTATACATACATACACACACCACACATAATATACTACTACTAATATGATACTAATAATAATAATAATAAATAACATATAGAATATAAGTATATGTATGTATATGCGTATATATGTATATGTATGCAAATATACATCTGTATGTGTATGCTAAGAATAGTGGTAATAATAGAATAATGCTAGAAATAATCGCATAATAGAAAAAATGACAGCAATGGTGATAATAAAACAATATTAATAATTTAGAACAAAAACACTAACAACAATTCTATGAAGTTGATTCAACGATAGACACAAGAAAATAGTTAAATCGAAGCAAACAAAACAAACAAAAGAAGAGAAAAAAGCAAAACATCTCCGCTGTCGCTGCACGCGAGAATGCCATGCTGATGCTGCTGCTACTACTGCTGTTGTTGAGCGTGGTCGTGTTGCTGGTGCTCCTATGTTGCTGCGCCTTATTATAAGAATACTTCAGAACTCCCAAGAGCCTAAACCCTAATCCTTACAAGGTTCAAAGGTAAAACTCTTTGAGGCCCCATTGCGTTGCTCTACACTTGCAGCAGTCATCTTCTCTGGTCTATTAAACAACAAACCTTGCTGCTGCTGGAGCTGCTGGAGCTGCTGCTGCTCTCGCCGTTTCTGGTGTTGCAGCTGCAGTTGCTTCTGCTGAATTTGCAGCTGCTGCTTCTGCTGTTTATGCTGTTGCTGCACCCAGCCGCTGTAGCTACGCTGCTGGAGGAGGGGTGTAAAAGGGGTTCGTGCTGCACGGTAGCAGCCGCAGAAGGAGCAGGGGCTGTAGCAGGCTCTTGATATGGCAGGGATAGAAGCAGATGCCGCCGTTAAAAAGGGGCGACTGCGCATATGCAGTCTCTGCAGCAGGGACAAAAAAAGAAGACAAACCCTAGGCCCTAAGCCCTAAGCACATGCTAACAAATTGTAGATGGAGCAGGCATGTTAACACGCGTGGAGCTCTTCCACTCGTAAACCCTAAAAAATCTAAAGGAATAAAACAACAACAGGGTTCACATTCTAAACGCTAAACCCTAAACCCGTGAGGTGAGTCCTTACTGGTCGTGTTGGTTTAGGCGTGCTTGCAGCGCTAAACCCTAAGCCTTAAAACCTAGACCCTAGGCTCTACAGCGTATATGTAAAGAGCAGGAAATGCGTCAAACACGTTTTTTTGCCCAATCTAGGGTTTAGCGTATAGGGTTTAGGGTTTAGGCCTACCGCAGCAGATGTGGGGCTGCAGCACCGCTGCCGAGACTGTCGATGTGTCTGATAGAGCTAGTTGTCTGCCCATTTTTCTTTGAAAACGTGTTTATTTAAGTAGTATATCCTTATTTAATTAGTTAGCAATAGGTTATTCAATTTATTATCATATTATTTTGTCTATCGGGCCTAAGCGAAACTCAAATAGACAAGCTGCTGCAGTGGGTTTAGCTTGCTGCATCGTTTGCCGCTTCCTCACACCGCCTTTGCCAATCTGTACTTTTTTAATGGCTGCAGCGCTGGCTGCTCGAGAACTAGCCGCTGAAACACCTCCAGATGCAGCACCGGGCGTTGCAGCAACTGCAGCAGCATGGGTCGCAGCAGCTGCTGCAGCACGGGTCTCAGCTCGCAGCAGCTGTAACAGCAGGCACCGGGACAGCTGAAGCAGCACGAGTCGCCGCAGCTGCAGCAGCAAGTGTCGCAGCACACTCTCCTGCGACCCCTGCCGTTGCAGCACTTACTCGGTCACTAGCTGCTGTGGCTCATACTGCTGCATCGCTCGTTGCTGTAACGTGCGTTGCTGTAAAGTTTGCTGCTGCGGCATCTGTTGCTGCGGCACCTGTTGCTGCAGCACCTGTTGCTGCGGCACCTGCTGCTGCGGCACCTGCTGCTGCGACACTTGCTGCCGCTCCAAATTTTGTCAACACTTGCTGCTGCACCGCTGGATGGTATAACGTGTGCTGCTACATCACTTGATGCTGTAACACTTGTTGCTGCCGCACGTGCTACCGCAGTGCTGGCTGCTGTAACGTGTGCTGCTGCGTTACTTGCTGCTGAAAAGCTCGCTTTTGCAGCACCTTCTGCTGCAATAGTTACTGCTGCATCGCTGTCTCTTGCAGCACTTGCTGGTGCTTGCTGCTGCAAAACATGATGCTGTTGTACCTTCCTCCTGCTGCTGCAAGACTTACTGCTGCAGCCTTTACTGGAGTAACGCTTTATGCTGCAACACCTGCTGCTGCAACACTAGCTGGTGTAGTGCTTTCTGCTGCAACACCTGCTGCTGCAACACTTGTTGCTGCAACACTTGCTGCTGCAACACTTGCTGCTGCAAAACCCCTTGGATTCCTTTCATGTACACACACATCAGAGGAGGATCAGAAGGCAGGTGAAGTTACATCTGGAGGAAGCATACAGGGTCTCCTGTAGCAATATACAAAGAGGTTCCAAAAATAAAGCCCTCTTCAAGGGTGGTGTAGGAATCTTGGTCTAGGTTTTAGGGTTTATGGTATAAGGAATAGAACTACGGTAGTGGATTAGGGTTTAATGGGGTTATTTGGCATTTATTTGCCTCTCTACTGCTTCTAGGGAATGCCTTGGAAACTCCTAAAGTTTCCTGTAACTAGACTTAGCTGTCGTTTAAATCACTCTTGATGGTATAATGTTTAGGGTTTACGGTATAGGGTCTGTGTGTGTCTCGTAGCGGCGCTGTGGCATTCTTCTCTATTTCCGGAAGCATCCAGGCTTTGAGATCACCACGGTTTAGATTTTAAGGAAGTTCTTCATACATTCGAGGGTTTAGGGTTTAGTGTTTAGTGTCTAGCATGCAGGTAGGCATCCTTGGTTGTCGGCTGCTCGGCGCAGCCCCGAGTCTCTCCAGGGGTGATGCTAGTCCTTTCCTTGCTCTTCTTGCCACAGAATGTCAATTTAAAATTAGTTGTTTTGCTTATTAAAGGGATCTATCAAGTTAGACAAGGTTTAGATGATAAGGATTAGGGTTTAGGGCTAAGGGTTTCGGCAGCGGTGACCCGACACTCCGGAGCCTCAACGCAGCGTCCCAAGGCTGCAGCTGCAGCAAACGTCCCAAGGCTGCAGCTGCAACAAGTACCGCAACCCGAGAAGCAGCAGTAGCAGCAACAGCAAGAGCAGTAACACAACAACGGCAGCAGACACCCACGATGTGGCAGATTGCTGCAGCAGCTGCTGCAGCAACCGCCACCCATCGCTGCAGCAGGATTCTCAGAGCAGCAGAGTGCTGCTGTGTCAACAATGCAGCAGCTGCAGCAACAACAGAAGCAGCAACTACCAGAGCAGCGTCAGACTCAACACGAACGGCAGCTACACCAGCAACAACCACAGCAGCAGCAGCAACAGCAGGGTCGCGACCTATTGGAGGACAGCCGTGGTGAGCTGCCTCTGCAAGAGCAGCAACCTCAGCAGCAGCAACAAACACAACACAATGTGGAACAGGAAATGGAGCCTCAACACCCGTTGCGGCAGCTGCAGCAGCAGCAACTGCAGCAGGAACAGCAGCCACTGAAGCACCAGCAACGGCGGGCGTTGGAGCAAAAGAAGGAGCAGTTCCTAGAGCAGAAGCAACAGTCGCGGCAGCAACACGGGCAGCAAAAGCAGAAGCAGGGCCCTCATAACAGCATCAATGGGAGATCTCCATCAGCATTTCTCCACTCGGAGATGCATCGTCGACGCAGCAACGGCAGTACCTGCAGCAGCAGGAGCAGCAGCAGTAGCGGGTACAGCAGCTTCTCTGCATGCAGCAGCAGTGGCAGCTCCGACGAAGATGCATGTTGCATGCGCACATCAGCCCGTTCGGCAGCAGGAGGAGCATCAGGAGGAGCAGCAGATCCAGGCCCAGATCCAGACCGTCCACCAGCATCGGCAGCATCCCCCACACAGGCAGCAGCAGCTACAGCAGAGGCAGTAGGAGCAGCAGCAAAACGACGGCGGCGTGGATGGGGTTTGGGGTCCGAAGGGCAGCTGCTGCAGGAAGGAGTGCAGTCTTGCAGCAGGTCTTTTTCCTTGTTTTGCAATTGTCTTTCCTTAGGGCAGATCGAGTTAGGAAAGGCATTTATTCAACTAGCAGCAAGAGACAATATATCTAAAACTCTTGCTGCTCTATCTAGTATCCTGCTGTGGGGACCCCCTCCTCCTTGGCTTCCTTCTGCTGCTGCACCTACCACCGCACATCTTATCTGGTGCTGCACCGAAGACCTAAATGAAATCCTCAGCCGCATCACCTGCAGCAGCATGAGCAGCAGCAGCAGCAAGAACAACAATGCAATGCACCGACGCACATCAGCCCCAGAGCATGCCGCAACAGCAGACTCCCGCATGCGCAGCAGCACTCCAGCAGCAGCATCTGCAGCAGCAGCAGCGCCTGCCACACAAGCAGCAGCAGGAGCGGCATCGCCAACAGCAGCTACAGCAACAGCACCAAGAAAAAGCCGCCGCGTGCCACTGCATGAAACTCTGCCAATGTGGCTGCTGCGTCGCAACCATTTTGACTTGCTGCTCTCTCAGGCAGTCTTAGATTGTGCTTCTAGCGGCATGGCCTTCTCTGCTGTTGCTGCTGCAGAGCTGCGGCAGCTGCACGCTGTGCTCCTGCTTCTGCGCTGCCAGGGAGCCCTCAACTTCGTCGTCCCAGCAGCACCCAGACCCGGCTGCAGCAGTAGCAGCAGCGATTGCCCGCCTGAAGTGCTGCAGCTGCCAGCTGTGTCGTTGCTGCCCGTCGCAGCCATAGGCTGCCAGCGCTTTGCTTCTGCAGCAGTGTCTCTACACGACACCCTAAAACGCTTCGTGAGGCAGCAGCAACAGCAGCAGCAACAGCAGCAGCAACAACAGCAGCAACAGCAGCTGCTGCCATTGCTCTCTGCTGGTACGCTGCAACAAATGCTGTTGCTGATGGCTGCGCAGCCAGCACTCGCAGACGCAATCGCGCAAACGCTTGGAGCCTTCCCACAGGGGGCATGGGTCACCCGCAGCAGCGGCAGCAGCAGTAGGAAGCAAGGGGAATATGGGGGGGAGCAGCGCGAGGCTGCAGCAACACCCGGTGCTGTGCCGGCCTTGCTGTTGCTGCTGCCGCTGTCTACTGCTCGGTGGGGTCTTACCAGCAGCAACAGCAACAGCAGCGAGCAAATGAAGGAACTTAGACGGCTCATGGGGCGAATGAGAACACGACTAGAAGCACAGGAATCCGTTGCTGTTGCTTCTGGTGCTGCGACAGCAGCGTTCCCAGTTCCCAAGTCGCCAGCAGCCTCACGCAGCACAAACGGCAGCAACAGCAACACTAGCAGCAGCGGCAGTAATAGCAGCGGCAAAGTATTCATAACGAATGCTCGCGATGCAGCAGCAGCAGTGGGAGCAGCACGGTTGACGAACGCAGCATCGCCGATTGCAGGAAAATCAGCAGCCAACACGGTTCCAACTGCTTCTGCAGCAAAACAGCAGCAACAGCAGCAGCAGAGGCAGCGGGAGTTGGATGGGTCTCTGTCGTTGTTCTTTTGCTCCCTTGTGCTCCGGCTACAGCAGCTCCGTGTTGCTGTTGCTGCTGAGACATTGCTACTGCCACCTGCAGCAGATGGCAGCGACGAGCTGTACATACACCTAAGGCTGCTGGACCCCACAAAGTCATTGTTACCGCTGGTTTGTCCGCTGCAGCAGCAACTCGAGGCTGCACTGGCAAGAGGCAGTGCTGCAAGGCTGCCGGGTGCTGCGATGTACAGACAGCAGGCGCTTCGCATAGGCAGCCTCAATATCTTCCGTCTGTTTGTTCTCATTGTTGCTTGGTTAGAAATTGTCCCCTTTCCCGCTGATTCTGCAAATGCAGCAGCAGCAGCACCTGCTGCTGGATCTGCTGCGGAAGATGATGCAGGCGGCGGTTCATCTTTTCCTGCAGGTGCTCCGGTTGCAGCAAACGCCGCAGGAGTAACAGCAGCAGCAAGGCGGATGAAACAGCAGACAAATTCACTTCAGCAGCAGCTGGCTATTCTCGTGAGGACAGCTCTAGCGAGCCCCGCCGCTGCGAGCGCTGCTGCTGCTACTGGTGGGAGTGCGGCCAGTGGTGGTTTTGCTGCAGATTATAGCAGCAGAGCAGCAGGGCAATCGACAGAGACAGCAGCAGGAGCTGCTGCTGCTGCCGAGTATCGCGTGAAAATTCAGCAGGAGGGGCATGTGCGAGCGAGAGACATGCAGAAGCAGCAAGAGCAGCAGCAGGAGGAACAGCTACAATGTCCGCTGCAAGGTCTTGGCTGGGTTGATCTTGCTGCAGCAGAGGATGTTGTTAGGGAGGTGTTTGCTGCTTTTAGTGCTGCAGGACTGCAGCACGACACAGAGAAACAGCAAGGACCTGCTGCAGTCGCTGCTGTGACGGACGCCGCTCGCAGGTAAGTTAACGGTGGTACTTGCTGAGGGCGTCGTAGCCGTGCAGTCCATTGCAGTTATTTCTAAATGGAATGCGGCTGGTTCATTACTGATGTGCTGCTGGTGCGGTTATTGCTGCTGCCGTTTTGCTACTACTGCAGGTTGCCGTCACCGTCGCCTGCCGCAAAGCCGCGTGCAGCAACTGATGGTGCTGCTTCTAATATTGTGTCGCGCTTCTTCCCCCCTTTCCTCAGTCAGCTTGCCCCTCCTGCTGCTGCTGCAGACTTGAAGCAGCAGCAGCAGCAGGAAGCGCAACAGCCATCGCAACAAACTAGACGGGGACCTGAGGACTCCGCAGAAGCAGCAGCACGAGGAACCGCTGCGGGTGAAGCGTCACCTGCACACGTCCGTAGCAGGTCTCCAATTCCGTTTGCTGCTGATCAAGAAGCGGGAAGCAGCAGCAACAGCAGCAGTGAGGAAGCATCAGATGTGGGGTTTGGTCGGATTCCCGTATCACACGGGCACGGGGAGAGGTAAGCGCATCAATCATATGCTGGTGCTGTTGCTGCTGCCTTTGCTGAACTGACTGCTCTGTATCTTGCTGCTCCTGCTGGAGAAGATGCTTCTGCTGCTGTGCGGTTGCTGCAGACGGAATGCTCTACGGCTACACGTCTACGAGGCGCTACTGGCCCACGAGCCGCTACTGCACGTGCCTGTCTCCCTACAGTGTAAAAGCAGCAGCAGCACCAACAGCAGAAACAGCAGCAAGGTGCTGCAGTACATTGGGCTGCAGCTGTTCTGCCATCTGGACGCGTGTTGGCTGCGGCTCAGAGCAGCGGGCAGCTCCACGCCCCTCCCCCTTCTGTCTCTTGCTGCCGTCCCGAGGCACGCAACCAGCAGCAGCGCCACCACCAGCAGCAATGGTTGCGTAGTTGCTGCTGTCTGCAAGCCTCCCCCTTCACCGGATGGCTGTACTTCTTCCGCTGTCCCGGAAGCAGCAGGAGAAGCTGTTTCTGCAGCAGTGGCGGCCACTGCCGCGGGGCGGACATGGGAGGCAGAGGTCGATGCCTCAACAGCAGCAGCAGCAGCGGCAGCGGACGAGGCCATACTGAGTAAGGCACTGGGGATTGACCGGCCGCAGGTCTTCTGGGCTGCTTATTTTCGATTTGTGTTGGAAGCAAATGAACACTGTCTCCTTCTCCCCCTCAAAGCTGCTGTCTCCTTCGTTGTCTCGAAGTAGGTTTGCAGCTTCAACAGGAACATCAGCAGCAGGAGCATCAGCAGCATCAGTGGCGGCATTGGCAGCGTCATTTTCACGAGAGCGGAGCGCCCACCACGGAGGTCGTTCTGTTCTGGGGTGTTTTCACCTCTGCTGCTTCTGCTCCTTTTGCTGCGTTTTTGCTGCTGCTGCAGGAACCCTGCAGCAGCGTCGCAGGTGCTGCTGCCCTTTCCGCAGCTGCGTGCTCCAGTGCTGTTGTTAGCGTGGGATGCCTTCAAGGGACAGATGGAGAGGAGACAACAGTTGCTTGATTGTCTTTGCTGCTGCCACGTTACTGCTGCAGCTGCAGGATCCGTTTCAGCAGCAGAAGCCACGCTCCTTTGCCCCGCGCATGCCTGCGCCCATGCAACAGCAGCAGCAGCGGCAGCAGCAACTGCACCGCATGTCAAGGAAGCAGCAGCGCAGCAACAGCCTCTTCTTCGTTATGCATGTGACGCCAATATGCAACAGCATATTGAGGTAAGCAGCATCAGGGGACGCAGCTGCGGTCCATTGAACAGGAGAGACTACAGAAGAAATAACCCCAGCAGCAGGACCAGATCTGCAGCTGCAGCAGCAGCAGACCCACAGTACAGTTTGTAAGGGTGTTATGGAAAGGCTGCTGCTGCTGCTGCTGCGTTTGCTTCTGTCTCTACAGGTGCTGCGGAGCAGAATGGCAGCTGCATGGTTTGTAGCAGATTTGCTGCTGCAGCTTCAAGCTGCTTTCCAACAGCAGCAGCAGCAAGAGCAGCAGGAAAAGCAGCAGCAGGCCAAACAAAACCAGAGGCAGCAACGTAGACAGCAAAGAATGCTGCAGCGGGGAGGTAGACAAGCTGTTGCTGCTGCGAGTGCTCTTCACAGCAGCAACAGGGACGCAGGTAATTTAACCGGTGCTGCTGAGAGACAACCAGCAGCAGCCGCGGGCTTGCTGCTGCAACCAGAGGCTGTGGAGGCCCTTGCTGCAGCAGCAAGCCAAAGATGCAAAGAAGCACAAGCTGCTGCGGCACGGCTACAGAGTCTGTTCGGCAGCACTGCCTGTGCAACAGCGGCGGCAACAGCAGCGGTGGCAGCACCTGCAACACTTGACACGGCGTATAATGGTGAAGATGCTTCGGGTGCAGCAGCAGCAGCAGCTTCCTCAATCCGCAGTGCTGCTGCTATGCTAAGTAGCAGCAGCAGCATAGCAGCAGGGGCTGCTGCACTTGCTACTATGCGGGAAGCTATTGCAGCAGACATATATGAAGCAATGGAGACTCAATCCCTTCTGCTAGCAGTAAGTTGCTACGACGGCCGTTGCTCCCGTTGTTCCTGTTAGTGCTGCTGCTATTGCTGCTGCAGGCGTGGCTCTTCTTGTCGCTGCTGCTGCTGCTGCGTCGTTTGGCGTCGTTTTAGCCGATTGAGCAGCCGGCTAGTCGAGGGGCCGTTAGATGAACTGCTGCTGCTTTTGCTGCTGTTGTTGTTGATGCAGCTGTCCCTTCGGGCTCCGCTGTCGCTTGTCGAGGAGCAGCCATTTCTCTCTGGCCTGTCTGCTCTTCCACCAACACATTTTACCATCTTCGAAGTGGAGAGGCAGCATGACAAAGATGTTGCTGCTGCTTACTTTGCCTTACGGGCAGCTATACGTCTTATTGAAACCTGCAGCAGCAACAGCAGGAGCAGAAGTAACAGCAGCGGCGGCGGCGCCACGGCAGGGCAGCGGCACTGCGAGGCGGCAGCAGCTGCAGCAGCTGCTGCTGATGGCCTGGCACAGTACCCCCAGCAGCAGACAAAAGCTCCAGCAGCGGAAGCAGCAGCATCCACTGCAGAAGCACCAGCATCAACAGCACAGCTGCAGGAGATCCTTATTCAGAGCGTCCGCTGCCTGGACAGGCTCCTCTCAGATGTGCAGAGACCACAGTACCGTTTATGGCTTCTGCTGCGTCTGGTGTCTCTTTTGTTTTCCTCAACTGCAGCAACGAAAAAGGAGCAGCAGCAGCAGCACGAGAGAGACAACCAAGGGAGCAGCAGCAACAGCAGCAGTAGTTCCGGTAGCAGCAGTAGCAGTAACAGCAGCAGCGGCAGCAGAAGCGGCGGCGGAGCCTTTGTGGTGCCGCCAGCTGTGCTCATATCGCTTGCACTTCTCATCAGGTAGGATGTCGTTCAGCTGCTGCTGCTGCGTTTCCTACTGCTTCTGCTGCTACTGATCGCCTGAGTGTCTAACCGGTAGTGTCAGAGCCTCAGCTCTTGCTGAAGTTGAAAGGGGCCCTCTCATATACTGTTGTTGTTGCTGTTGCTGCTGCTGCAGGACGCATCTGCTTTCTTTGCAGAGGTCTGAGGGTCTTGGGGAGGTGGGGTGGATTTTGCTCAACTCCATGCAACATTTTGTTGAGGTTCGCATCTTGCTGTTGCTGGTGCAACTTGCTGCTGGTGCTGCGGGCTGCTGCATGGTGTTGCTGCTGCTGCTGTAACCCCTGGTCTTGCATTTCCGCTGTTGCCTTTGCTCACCCGGCACTCGCTGCTTACCGGATCCTGTGCGAATAGCAGTGGCTGCTAGAGCTGCAGGCTAGTGGTGTAATAGCAACAGCCGCTGGTGCTGCTGCAAATACTGCTGTGTGCATGCAGGAGACCATATGGAGGTGTCGGTTGTTGTTGAACCAATTCTTTAGTTTTCTGCCTTTGGCTGCGATTTGCATCTCTGGGGGATCCTCAGCAGCAGCTGCCGCCGTCAGTTCCGCTGCTGCAGGACCTGCTGCTGCATGCGCTGCCGCTGGTGCGCCTTGTGCTGCCGAGTGTTCCGTTGGCGACCATGAAGCAAAGCAGCAGCAGCAACGGGATATAGAATGGCAAAACCAGCTCCGCTGCATCGGCGTGTACTCCATTGAGGTTTCTCCTGCCAGAAGCAGCGACGGCAAGAGCAGTAGGGGCTGCAGGGTCGACGGCAGCAGCATCGAGGAAGCAAGCCTTGCCCCAGAACGCAACACCAGCAACAACAGGAGCGAAGACCCCACCGACCCCACCACCAGTACTAGCAGCACTATCAGCAGCAGGAGCAGCAGGAAACACCACTTGGCGTGCCATACGACACCTTGTGCTTCTCTCCTCTCTCTCGATGCCGATCCCTTTGCTCGTCGTTTGCTGCAGCCTCCGTCGCTGTTCTTAGCGAGGGCCCTGCAGCAAAATGACACCGCCACTGCAGCGTGAGTATTCGCTGCTGCTACTACTAGCACTGCTATTTCTGCTGCAGCTTCAGCCGAGCCTGCTGCTGCACTGATCATGCAGGTGAACAGACACGCAGCATCCGCAGCCGCAGCTGGTGTTGTAGCCCCTGCTATCTAACTGCTGCCGCTGCTGGTACTTTCGCTGGTGTGCTGCTGCAGGGAATTGCTGCAGCAATTCGAGCTGCCAGTACACCTCAAAATTAGCGCGGAGCTTGCAGAATCCTTTGGGTGTTTGCGAGACACCCTCAGCTCCCTCCCAGCTACTGACGCCGCTGATAGTGCTGCTGCTGGTGTTGCTGCTACTGCTGTCGCATCGCCCCTTGAAAAGTGTCTTTCTGCACTGAGCAAATCGTGAGGCCACCACCGCTAGCAGCAGCAGTAACGACACCAGACGCAATAGCAGCTGTGAGAGCAGCAAAACATCTTAGCCGACCGTATGCACCCGAATGCTTTTTGTTTGCTGAAAGCCCCAGAAGCGACGGTTGCTGCTGCTGCCGTTGGTGTTGTTGTTGCTGCTTTCGCTCTCTCGCGGGGTACAACCTCAGCTGTGTCAACGCGTGCTGCTGCTGGTTTTGCAACTCAGGTGTGTGTCACCTCCAGCACCTCCTGCAGCAGCCCCAACTGCAGCAGCAGCGGCAGATGAAGTTAAACCAGGCTGCGTGTTCAACGCCTGTCTCTCAACATACTGCGATGCAGCAACAGCAGCATCCGTTGCTGTGCTGCTCGACAACCCCAGGCTTGCTGCGGTGTATGCATGCGTTGATGCTGCTATTGCTGCTGCTGCTCCTGCAACTGTGTCGCTTCTGCTGTTGCAGAGGGCCACAGAAGAGCTGAGGACTTTTTCACCGCACCAACCTGTGCAACAGAGACCGCTGCCAGCAGCGGAGATGCCAGCAGCAGCAACAGCAACAGACAGGCCCGCCGCCGCCTTCCACACATCAGCGATAACGAACCTCCTAGCAACATCTATAGACAGGTAACTGCCTGCCTGCTGCTGCATCTCGCCAGCTCACTGCTGTTTGCGCCGGATGGGCTGGTGCTGCGTCTGGGTCTGCTGACACTTTGGGGCGCTTGGAGCAATAGCTGCAGCAGTAGCAGATACTGCTGCTGCACTCTCCATCGGAGTGCCTTACTTGCTTCTGCCGCTTTCTACTCGAAAAACCTATTCGCATCAGGCAATCATGTTTTGCTGCCGCTGCTGCTGCTGATGGTGCAGGCTCGAGGTGCTGATTGAAGCGCGAGGTATGCGTACACTCCGACTGGCGTCACTGCTGCTGCAGGTGGAGACCCTACCAATTAAAGCAGACTTACTCAGGACTCACCTCTCCAGGTACGTGCAGCAGCAACAGCCGTAGCAGCAGCAGCGTCAGCAAGGGGGTTTGCGCTGTGAGGTCAGAGCAGCATGACAAAGTTGGCTGAATTGCTGATTGGTGCTGCTAATGCTTTGGTGGTGCAGCAGCTGCTGCTATGCGGAGTTGGCACATTTTTTGTTGCATCTGATTCCGGTGGGGGCGCCGATATTATTGTTACTGTTGTTGTTGTTGTTGCTGCTGCTGCTGCGGGCTTTTGATGCAGTCTCAACCAGCGCAACACAGCAGTTGCCTCCTTGCTCGAGCAGATGCAGCAGCTGGCTGCAGGCACGCAGCAGCTGACATCAGCTGCTGCTCGCAGCAAATTCCTCTCGCATGCAGTGCAGGTCCTTAGGGGAGAGCCGCAGCAACAACAGCTGCGGCAGCAACTGCAGCAGCATCTGCAACAGCAGACAGAAGGAGCTGTGCACGTCGCACCCACCTCTCTTGGAGAAAGTGACGAGCTGGCTGAAGATTTGCAGCCACAACAGCAGCAGCAGGATGGCGCGGAGGAAGGCCTGCCGGAAGAAGGAAGTCGGTATTTGCTTGCCCTCATTTGTTATCTCCAGCGGATTGTGCAGCTCCAAACAGAAGCGAAACGCAGGTTGTATCTCAAACAGAAGAAGCCGCAACCGCGACAGCAAACGCAGCAGCAACTGCAGCAGAGGCGGCACCAAACGGGACAGCCGCATGAACAGTCGGGTAGGGAGCAGCAGCTGCTGGAAGAGGAGAATCAGAAGCAGCAGAAGGCGCAGCTAAACGAAGAGAGCCACCAGCGGGTGCAGCCGGTTGCTTTGGAGGAGGTAGAGCAGCAACAGCAGCAGCTGCAGCAACAACAGCAGCAGCCGCTGGATGAGGAGACACAGCTGCAGCTTCACTTTGAAGACGAGATGGAGCAGCAGAAGCAGCACGATGAGAAGGAGGAGGAGGAGCAGCAGCAGTGCGATGGGGGGGAGGAGAAGCCGCAGCAGGACAAGCGGGAGGAGGAGGAGCAGCATGAGAAGCAGAAGGAGCAGCAGCAGCGTGAGGAGGAGGACGAGGAGGAGCAGCACCATGAGGAGAATGCGGAGGAGGAGCAGCAGCTGTTCGGTTTGCTGTTTGCATCTCCAGAAGATTTAATATCAGAAGTCTTGTACACCCTTGAGGGGCAGCAGGAGGCGCAGCAACTTGCTGCTCTGCTGCAGACCGACCTAGTGGGAGTGTTGCTGCACGCTGCCCTGCCGCTCTACCCGCTGCTGCTCACCAGCAGCAGCAGCAGCAACAGGTGGCCTTCACCTATGCCTGCATCTCGCATGGCTCTTCGAAGGGACTTGGTGCTATTTTTGGGCTCTCTCGAGAAGCAGACTTACTCGCTACGCCGTGATGCTTCTGCGGCCTGCAGCAGCAGCAGCAGCAGTGGTAGCAGTTGCTGTAGCAGCAAGTGTGGCGGAAGGGTTTCTATTCTTGGTCCTCTTGCAATAGCTGAGAGGTGCAGTGAGCTGTGGCCTTCAGGACAGCTGCTCCAGCTAGCACAACAGCAGCTTTGCTGCTGCTGCAGCTCCTTGCGTCTCTGGCTAGCAGACCGACACAGATGCTGGCGGATTATAAAGGCTACTGGGGCTATACAAGCAGCGACAGCAGCAGCCGAAGCAACAACAACAACAGCAGTAGGACCTGCAGCAGCAGCCCTGGCAGCAACAGAGGATCGCTGGAGTGTACGCTCAGAAGGTTGGAGACCCCACGAACTCCTCAATCTGCCTTTTGCTGCTAAGGTACTTCACAACAGCAACACCAGCAACAGCAATAGTAGTGACAGAAGCAATAACAACAACAGCAGCAGCAGCATCTGTGGCAGAAACAGCATACGGGAAACATGACGCCATGTGATTCTCCTTTGGAGCTGTTGCTGCTGCTGCTGCTGTGGCCGGTGTTGCTGGCTTTCTGCTGTTCGTGCTGGTCCCCGCGAGTATTGTATCTCCTTCGCTGGTGCTGTTTGTGTTTTGCGTCGCTGCAGAGACATCTGGAAGCTGTGTCGGATGATGGCCAAGCAGCAATCGAGCTCTGCTTTGCTGCTGCAGCCAGAGCGTGGAGTGTAAAGGGACATCTGCAGCAAGCCATGCAGGTTGCCGATGCTCAGCTATCTCCAGACACTGAGCTGCAGCAGCTGCTAATTAGCTGCGTAATAGAGCAGGCTCTCCAGCAGCAACAGCAGCAGGTACAGCAGCAGGTGGTGGGACTGAAGACGGGACAGGAGGCGGATGAAACATTTTCGCTGCAGAAACAGGAGCGGCACACATCTCCGGAACAGCAACAACAACAACAGCACCCGAAGCAGGAAGAAGTTGCTACTTTCCTGCAACAAGCCTCTCCGTGTGCCTCGACAGCAGCAGTTGCTGCCTGGCCCCTTGACGCTGCTTTGCGACTTCCTGCTGTGGAGCCATCAACAGCATCAAACCCTGAACCAGCAGCAGCAAACACAGCACCAACACTAGCAGCAGTGGCAGCAGCAGAGGCAGCAGCAGCAGCAGAAGAGTGCGGCGCAGCAGCAGGAGACCAAGAGGAGTTGTCCCTCCCAGACTGTCTCATGAGACTGAGCAGCGCAGCAGCAGCAACTCGGAACGCTTTGCAGCTGTCTGCTGCTTGGCCTGTCCAGACATGTATAAATACTGTAGCCTTTTGCCAGGCGCGACTGCAAGAAGAAGCAGCAGCTCTGCAGCAGCAGCCATCTGAGCCATTCCAAAGGGATGCATCCAACGGGAGCAGCAGCAACACCAGCAGCAGCACTGCATGCCGCTGCTTAGAACAGCATCCTCTCCTCGCTGCCTTGGAGCACACCGCAAGGCACGGTACCGCGACAGCAGCAGAAGCAGCAGCAGCAGATGCTGTTGACGTGGCTGACAGCGAAGATGCCGCCTTTGGGGGCTCAGCAGAAGAACGAGCAGCATCAGCAGCAGCAGCTGCTGCCGCAGTGGCGCTGCGTGCTGTCTCGCAGGTCCAGCAGCAGCTGCGGTGCTGCAATAGTGGGCCTTGTTTGCTGCTGCTGCTGCAGACCCGCGGGTGTCTGTACACCTGGAGGAGCTACAGTGCAGCAATGGAAGCAAGCAAAGACACTTGGAGAACATGGAGGGACCTCCACGCCGACATGCAAACTGAAAAGGGCATTCAAAATGTAAACTCTAAACTCTTTTATTCAAAGCCTTCTAAACAACTGCGTTATTTAAAATGCTTGCAGTGTGCAAACAACCGTGGCAGCATCAGCCACTAGAACCCTCGGGCTTTAAATATAATTCTAAACCGTCGGGTGTGGCGGGCCATTGTGTACGTGTTTATGTTGTAGGGTCTAGGAGTGCTGTGTTTGCGTGACGCACCCTTAAGGGTTTCGTGGATTGTATCTAGCTGTTTAGGGTTTAGGATTGAGGGTTTGCGGGCTTTTGTGTTTAGGTGGTGCGCACTTTAGCTGCCTGCAACGGCTACGCAACTGCTAGGGCTCTCCTGAAGGTATGAAACGCAACCTCGTTGACTGGCTTCCTAGCTCGGTTGCCACCAGCAACTGGCTAGCTAGCAGCCTGTACTTAGCTAGCTAGCCACCAGTAGCCAGCTAGTTAGCAGCTGGCCCTTTGAGTAGCGGCATGCTGGTCTATCAAGCTAGCTACCTAACTAGCTGACTAGCGAACAAGGCAGCAGGCTAGCTGTGTAGCCGGGCTAACCAGCAAAACTCTCGACTTCTGCCGAAAGGGTTGCTGAGCTAGGCAGCTACATGTAGCTAGCTAGCTAGCCAGCTATAGGTTGAAGGGAAAAGTGCTTCTCTGTCTTTTTGTATTGTTTTTCAGCTGCTCCCAGGCGCTCCTGTCTCCCCTTCTGGGGGGTTGTCCTGTTTGCCGCCAGCTTGCAAACCTGGCAGCGAGGTAGCTAGCTATCTGCAAGAATGGCTAGCTGAGGCGGAGCTGAAGCAGCTGCTGTCGCTTCCAGGTTTCCAAGGAGCAGCGACACGGCGGCTGCTGTCTCTTAGCAGCAGCAGAGCAACCCGAGTCGCCTTGCGGCTGCTGTCTCTTAGCGGCAGCAACAACAACTGCAGCAGCAGGGGCGAAGTGACGCTGCCGCTGCAGGGGGGGTTCCCGCAGGTTGCTGGTCGTCTTTATTTGTGCGAGCTCTTGCAGGAACAGCAGCAGCTGTCAGCTCATCTAACGATGCAGCAGCAGCAGGAACTGCAGCAGCTGATGGCTTCTTTGCAGCTGCTCCAGCTGGTTGAAACCCAGGTGGCTAGACACCGGGAGCCGCTGCTCCAGCACCCCGAGCTACTTCTCGAGAGCCTTATTCTGAATTCTAGGACGGAGCTGCTGCAGCAATTTCTCCTAAAGTGGCCTTTGCTTAGAGACAACGATCTGCTTCTGGTGTATGCGCGGAAGGCCTTGGGACTACGCCCTTCTGCTGCTGCTGCTGCTGCATCGAACCCTGCAGCAGCAGCAGCACCAACACTGGCATGTCAAGATTCTTGCCGCGTCGCACCAATAACATCAGCAGCAGCACGAACAAGAGGACCAACGACAGAAGAAGCAGAAGCAACAACAGGAGACGACGCTGATTTGCCTCCTGCTAGTTGGGGTTTTGGAGGCCGTTGGGTTCTAACAACTAACGCAGAGACCAACAACAGAATCCGTTCTGCGCATGCATTTAATCCTCTTCCTGCTGTTGCTGTTGCGCTGCAGCTGCTGCAGCTGTTGGGGGAAAACAGCAGCACAGCTGCAGCTGGCTTCCTCCAAATATGCACAGAGGTAGCGTCGCTGTTGCGGCTTGCTTTGTGCAGACACCCCATGGCTGCATGCGGCTCGCCTTCTGCTGCTGTTGCCCAGACTACACCTCATCCAGGTACAGAAGCAGCAGCAACAGCAGCAGCAACAGCTGCTGCTTCTACCTCTTCAGCTCCAGCCACGTACCCACAAGAGGCTAATCGCATTGAGCGAGCACAGGTTTCACCACTAAAGGAGGAAGATATACCAACGGCATCAGCAGCCGATACAGCAGCAGCTGAGGCAGCAATGGCAGCAGCAGAAGACGGAGAGCCAATCACAAGACCGTCTTCCCCGAGCGCAGCCGCAACTGAAACTGCGTCTACTGCTGCAGCCGAGGCAAGGTCATCTCGAATCTCCAGCAGCAGCAGCAGCAGCGTGGGGCCAACACGTCAGTCATGCAGCACTGCCTACAACAGTTTTGCTGCTTTGCACTGCCAGCGGTCTTCGTTTGCTGCGGTTTATGGACAGCTTCGAGGCAAAGGGTCAATTCGGCATTCCAATGCATTGCCTTGTACTCTTAGAGAACAACTCAAGAGGCTTCATCCTGCTGCTCCTGCTGCTGCCACAGGTGTGGTTGCAGGTCCTGCTGCAGCAGATGCTTGCTCAGCGAATGCAAAGGCTGCCGCCCCTGACGCTGTGCAAGCAACAGAAGGTGGGCCTGTTGAGGGAAGTACAGCCTCACCTGCTGCTGCTGCATCTAGTTCTGCTGCAGGGGCTGGAGCAACGGGCCTCCCTGCTGCTGCGGACGTTGCACAAACAACAGACGTAGCAGCAACAACGGCTTCTGATACTGCTGCTCTGATGCTGCAGAAGCACGAGGGAGAGAAGACTGGTGCTGCTGCAGCAGACACAGCAGTACTAGGAGGGGCAGAAGGAACATCACAGGGGGCTGAGTGTTTGCCGTTGTCACTGCTGCCGTACGGGGCGTTGATGGGTCTGCTGCAGCAGCTGCTGCAGCAGTGTCTGATAAAATTTGGGGCTTTCCGATGGGTTCGCGCTCGCGTGCTGCTGCTGCAGCAGCTGCTCCCGTTTCTTGCTGCTCTTTGGAGTCGCTGTTCCTTCACACCCCCCATTGAGGTGCTGCTGCAGCCGCGCACTGCAGCAAAAGTTCGAGACCTGCTGCTGCGGCGCGATGAGCTTTCTCTTGCGTGGAGGCTCTGCAGCAGCTATTTCAACGCTGCCCTGCTGTTGGTTCAGCAGCAGCAGCAAAAAGAACAGCAACAGCCGCAGCAGCAACAACACAAAATTGCAGTGCCCAGGATTGCGCATGCAACGTCTACGGCTCCTCAAGCAAGTGTCCCCGTTGCTGCTGCCGCTGCTGCTCCCACCGTAGCAGCAGCTTCAGCCAGAGAACAAGCACCAACAGGTGCAGAAACAGCAGAGATTGATGAGAGACTGGCGGAGACAATAGGCACCTTGAGGTTCTATCCGGTTGTTGAAGTCAGAGTTGTCTCTCTTTGCCGCCTTGGCATGTTTGCTGCTGCTCGCTCCGCGCTGCATGCAGCGTTGTCTCTAAACATGGAGCAGCACATGCTACAGCAGCACCTGCTGCAGCAACACCTGCTGCAGCAGCACCTGGCTGCTGCAGCAATCGCCGCTGCGGCGTCTCCACAAGGACAACACGCAGAGGCCCAACAGATGCACCAGGAAACGGATCCTGCACTAACCCCCAGCAGCAGCATGCAGCATAAACAGTATGTGCAAGCCCTGCAGCAGCCGCAGCAGCAGCAAAAGGAATATGGTCTTGCTGTTGGCGAGGCGAGAAATGAAGTGCTGCAGGAGCTAACAGCAGCGCTTGTTACGAAGACAAAGAGCTGCCGTGCCTCCGCCACATTGATTGTCTGTACAGCCCAGCAGCAGCAGCAGCAGGGGCAGCAGCCGACGTTCTGTGCTATTGAGTGGAGTAGCCGGAGCAGCACGCACAGGTTGCCAGCTTCTATTGGGGCGACACTGTACTCTCGTCAGCAGCAGCAGCATCATCGGCCGTGGGGGCTTGCAGAAAAACAGTTGCTTCGACAAGTGCTGTCACGGCTACCTCCACTAGAAGCTACTGCCGCTGCTGCTGCAGCTGCTGCGGGTCATCGGAGCACCGCAGCAAAGCAGGCTCCTGCACAGACAGGGGATACAACAGCGGCGACAGCAGCCGCCGGTTCTGCTGCTGCACAGGGAAGCAGCAGCAGCACCAGCAGCATCACCCGCCGTCGCAGCGGGACGGCTGGTGCAGCAACAACAACGGGAGTGCCTACTGGGTCGCCGTCTTCTGGAGGACCCATCTCAGCAGCTCATCTTACCCAGCAGCAGCAGCAGCTAAGCAGCAGTTGTCTTGCCGCCTTGGAGGCGGGGATGATGAGGCCACAAATTGTCTCCTTCCTTGCACTAAATTATTATGTGCGGGGTCTCTCTTTTTTGATTACCCACAGAAGAACTTACGGCCTGCCCTTTGCCTGGCCTGTGACTTCGTTGGTGCTGCCGCAGTCTGCTGCTGCTGCTGCTGCTGCAGCAAATGCTGCAGCAGCTGCTGCTAGGGCTGCCAGGGCAGCCAGCGGGAGCAACAGCAGCCACAGCAGCAGCTTCCGGCCGCGGCTCCCTCCCCTGCCTCGGGGCATTTCTGCTTCAGTCTCTGCTGCTGTTGCTTCGGAGCGACGGGTTGCTGCAGCAGCAGCAGCAACACAGCTGCAGCTACTGCTGCCTCCTGTGCATGCAGCACTTCAACTCGCTACCCTCCCACTGGGCAACGGGCCTTCAGTCAGCGCTGACCTGCAGCTGCTGTGGGGTCAGTTGCGGCAGCAGCAACTCCAACAGCAAATGGAGGAACAGCAACAGCAGGAGCTACAAATGCAGCAGCAGCATAGTCATGATTCAAGCATACCGTCATCGGGAGATCGAAGCCAGCCGCAGCAGCAGCAGGAGCGTCAACACCAGCAGCATATGCTGACACTGCGGCACGGTGCTGCGGGCTCTCAATCGCGGTCTGTACAGAGCCTGTTGCTGCATCCCGGTAGCAGCAGCATCAGCTATAGCTCGGCTTCTGCTGATGCTGGTGCTGCTGTCTTTGAAGGAGGCTGTTGGGTTCGGGGGCTTGTAGCAGCAGCAGACAACTACCTGCGATGTTATCTACACCCGCAGTGGAGCGGCAGCGGCAGCAACAGCACCGTAGATATCACCCGATGCGTGTCTTCTATCGCCCTTCCGCACTGTACAAACAGCAGCCGCAGCAACAGAAGCAGTAACTGCATCGGCAACAACATCAGCAACAGCAACAGCAACAGTAACAGGAAGGGAACACCAGCAGCAGAAGCAGCTGTGCTGTATTCTATGCCTTATCTTCGCTGCAGTCTTTCTGATGACGACTACAGCAAATTCGCGCAGCAAGAGCAGCAAGGCATAGGTAATGCTTTTGTTTTCCTGTGTTTGTTTATTTCCTTTTCTTTATTTGTGTCCTAATTATACCCTTGTTGTTTTTATTATTTGGCTTTGATCTGCTCAGCATTTCCAATTATTTCCATATGTTTTGTTTTCGTATTCTTTTTGATATTTTTGTGTATTTGTTTACTGCTTTGATTACTTGCTAACAAGGCATTTGTTTCTTCCTTTCTATCGTGTTTTTATCCTTTTAATTGAGTATGTACTGGTTTTAATAATGTCAACGTTTTTTATATTGGTCGTATTATTTTTATTGCGTGTTTCGGTTCACTGACATTCCTTGAGTGCACAGAAACATGCCAGTACACCTGCTGCTGTTGCTACTGCTGTCGCTGCTGCAGTTGCCGCGTCGGAATTGAGTCTCCTCTACAAAACATTCGGTAGCTTTCGCTGTTTGTTTGTCTCCCTTGTCAACTCGGATCGTCTGCCTGAGGCTGTTGAGCTGCTGTTGTCTCCCGCCGGTACTGCCGCCCCAGCTGCTGCAGGTGCTGGGCCCTCATCGGCTGCTGCTGCTGCTGACGTCGAGCTGCTGGTTATGCATGCGCTAAACCACCAGCAGCTAAACCCCCTTCTCCGGCTGTTGCACCGCAGGGTGGACAAAGGAAGCCAAGTCTTTGCTGTAAGACAGTTATGCTGTTGTTTCAGCTGCTGCTCCTGCTGCAGCTTTTGCAGCGTTTGCTGCTGCTTCACCGTCTGCTGCTATTGTTGACAGTAGTACTTTGACTTCCGGCATTTCTTTAGCTTCTGCCACTACTGCTGCTGCCGCTGTTGGTACAGGAGTGGGTGCCGTTGCTGCTTCTTCTACTGCTGTTATTGCTGCTGCTACTCCAGCACCATCAGTTGTATTCATGCGTGTTTATTTGCTGCAGTTGCTGCGGGCTCTGTTGCGGTCGCACCGTGCCCTCCGAAGTCTTCAGCTGAGCCATGTTAGAAATACATATAAACTCATTCATTTTTTTGCATTTCTACCATTCATTTCTATTTGTGTTTATATGTTTAATTGTATATGTATTTATGTTCATATTTCCGGCTATAATTACCTCTATATTTCTACGTGTACGTTTGCTTTTATTTAATGCTTCCATATATTAAAATATATTTGCATTTTCTGTATGCTTATCAAGGAACATGTATACAACCATATGATATTTTTGTATAGATATACCAATAGGTAAACAAGTGCATGCACACCATTTTAGTTGGGACTGCTGCTGCAGCTGATCCTGTTAAATGCAGATAACAGCGGGTGATAATTTGAATGCGGGTCTCCTTGCCGTGCTGCTCTGCCTCCACGAGGCATTAGCGCCTCCTCCCTTCTCATCGGCAGCAACAGCAGCAGCATCAACGGCAACGAGAAAGTGGGATCGCCTACATGGCCTCCTGGATGAAGCTGTTTCTTTCCTCTCGGCATCGCTGCATGAAAAGCGGCGAGCTAAGATGTAAGGTCAAACCCACGAACTCGTCTGGCGGGTCCAAGGTGTAGGGTGTAGGGGAACGGTGTAGGGTTTAGGGTTTAGGCCTTCCGTACAGTAAGTACTACTCGTGTCTGCAGGGCTGCGCCAACAGAAGGTTTGAAGCAGCAGTGGAAGTATCCGGATGTAGCAGCACCCGGTGCTGCTGCTGCTGACGCTGCAGGCGATGGTGCACGACTAGTCTACCAGGAGCAGCAGCAACAGACGATGCCAGCAGTAGCAGCAGCAGCAGCAGCGGGTCCAGGGGAGCTCACACAGTCGGCAGAAGTCACAGCAGCAGGAAGAAGGACCGCTGGGCTGCAGAACAGCTGCAAGGAAGCAGTGGGAGAAAGCACAGATGCAGTAACAGCAGCAGCACCAGCAATCGAGACGAGGCTGCATCGGCGAAGGCGAGAGGAAAGAGGACCAAGGCTGCTGCTTCTCGCTGATGAAAGGGACGTGTCTCTCGAGGAAGTAAGAACTGTTATTGCCGCTCCCGTTGTTTTTCCTGTCACTCTTGCTGCTGCTGTCGCTACTTCTGATGTCCAATTTCCCATTGCGTGTTGCTGCTGGTGGTCCTGCTGCTGCAGGTTGATGAGCGTGATCTGCTGGAGCTTCTGGATCTGGTGGTGTTGCAGCAGCAGTGCTGCTGGGCGGTGCCGAGCTGCTGCAGCAACTGGTCATTGCTGCTTCAACAGGAGGAGCAGCGTGTGCGACTTTGCGTATTGCTGCTGCTGCAGCAGCAGCAGCAGCTTGCTGCCCGCGTGCTGCAGCTCTGCAGCCTAAACCCTCTGGAGGTGTACATACAGGCTGTGCATGTTCTGGCCAGCAAAGCAGCTAGCATCCAGATGGTGTGTTTTGTTTATCTGCTGCTGTTGTTGCTGCCTAATCAATCTTTGCTGTTGCTGTTGGTGCTGTCTGCCCTCTGCCTGCTAGTGTGCTGTGAGCCGTTACTGTTGCAGCTGTGCGTGCTGCTGCTGATGGCATCATCATTATTCTTCATCTAGTTGTACACCAACAGCAATTCCAGTTCCTGCAGCTCCATTGAAAAGAAGCTCCATTGGCAGCAACATCTGAGTGTCATTTTGTGCCGCTTGTGGTTTGATGCAGCAGCGGCTGCAGGGGCTGCTATAAGATCTCTGTGGATGTTTGCGGCTTTTCTTGTTGTTGTGGACTCTGCAGATGAAGGAGCTACTGTCTAATGCCAGGAAGCATTTGTCTGCTGCCGAGTTTGACGCATTGGTATGTAGCGCAATTAGGGGGTGGGTGCTGCAGCAGCAACAGCAGAAGCAGAATCAGCAGCAGAAGCAGAGCGTTGTGAAGATGAAGAGCGACAGCCTGCAGGAAGCCCTTGGCCTGGTGTCTCTGATTGCATCTCCCGTTTCGGCCGGCGAAACGAGGGTATTTCTGGCTACTGTGTCGCTGCAGGAGCAGCAACAGCAGCGTCAGCAGCGGCCAGTTGGGACTACGTCTTCCTTCTCAGGTAGCTCAGAGCCTTTGTTTGCAATTCAACAATTAAAACATGCCGTTGAGGTAGCCACGGAGTTTAAGAATGAACAACTGCTGGAACTCTGCAGAGAGGCAGCACAAGAGGCAGCCGACACGGCCCTTAAGGACCTCATACAGACCAAGTTGGTACAGCTGCAAACAAGCAGCAACAACACCGGTAGCAGCAGCAACAGCAGCAGCAAAGGCCAGAGCAAAGCCAAAAAGTAAAAACAACTGGCAAAGAACAAAGGCCTAGCAGAACCACTGTTTGTTTTAAAAACTCTAAATCCTAAACAATGTTTTTGATTCTGCATAACTACGATTTTAAAATCCGAGGTTAAGGGTTTGGCGCTTATGTTTTAGGGTTTGGTTTGCCAGCAACTAAAGTCGGCAGTGCACACGGCTGCTGGGTAGAATGACGCAGTGATTCTGTGAGGGCTTAGAGTCTATTGTTTAGACTTTAGGGGGATACTAACAGGCCTATATTTTCATGTGAGGGACTAAATCTCCTCAAAACCCTAGACAAAACTGTAAACCCTCGCCCTTGACCGCGTCGCTGGCTAAACGTATTTTCAGTTCTTTGTGTGCTCCCCGTCGACTTGGTGGTATAAACACGAAAACCTATTCAGTATCAAAGTCTTTTGTTTTCCGTATTTAGACCTCGTCGTCGTGCGTGTTTAGAGCATCGTAACGGCAACTCGATCCATTAGTGTGCCCTGCGGAGAGTCACCGCTGTGCAACTGCTTATGCATCAGGCGCCAAGGTGGCAACGGTTTTTTGAAATAAAGTGGTATTTAATTTTGTTCTTTTTTCAAATTAATTTCGCACCAAAATACTACAAAGAAAACTGGATTTGCATCCGTGTTGCAAACCGCCGCCGCGCAACCCGTGCATCCGAGAGCACGAGCACGCGGGGAACGTGTCGAGGGTTTAGGGTTTTGGTTGTAGGGTTTCAAGTCGGCTCTAAAATTAAACTTGTTTTTGTATTAATCATTTGATATTAACCACTTCTTCCGTTTGAGATGCATCCTCCTTCTTCGTGCTGCCGCTGCAGCTGTCTGAGACGCCCATGACCGGAAACCACATACCCTAAAATCTAAACCCCAGACCCTAGACCCAGAGTGAAACCATGGGATTAGGGAGCCTTAGCTTGCCATTGTACGCTTAACGAACTCTTTTTGCTGGCTATTTGTTTGTACGTTCCCCCCGTCTTATCAAGGCACTTGAGTGTGCAGCAGCTGCAGCTGCAGGAGCAGCAGCAGTAGCTAAATGCATTTGTCTTTGAATGTCAGTTGGGGCTGCGTATGTTAAAATACACACTCCAAGCCCCAAGCCCTAAGCTACAAACCGTAAACCCTAACTCTTGTCTGGACCGGTGCCCCCCACCGCCTCACTTAGCCTCACCGTTGTTTACAGGGACCCTAAACCCCAAGCCCAAAAGCCTGCACCTAAAACGCACGTCCTTGAGCACAGTGTTTCCTTCTTGAATATCTGTCTGCCACTTCCATATATCCTTTTCCCCTTGTCTTGTCTCCCTCTAAATATTGGGCACCTGAGAGTTGTCACAACCATAGCAGCAGAAGCAACAGCAGCAACAGCAGCAGCAACGGCAGCAGCAACAGCGGTAACATCGCAACTGAGAGCATCAAAGAGGCCTGGACGGCGGCAACACGAGTATTCCCTCACTGAAGAGGCGACATTTGGTGCCGACGCAGCTGCAGCAGCCCACCTGCGCTGCATCAGCAGGACTGCAGCGGCAGCGCAGGAGCAGCAGCAGCAGTAACTCATGGAAACAGTTGATCAGCAGAGCACATTGGGGTTCGAACCCCCTCTCTGCCGCCTTCTCTCTGCAAATGACCCTTTCCAATGCATCAAGACAGAGCTCAGCCTGTACAGCAACCCAAATCCTAAACCCTAAACCCTAAAGCCTAAACACTAAACACTAACACTAAATAAACCCTAGAACCAGAAGCCTAAACCGCAAACCGTACTGATTGTGGGGTTGTGTGCTGCAGTATGCAGGACAGTCTGCAGCGTGCGGAGGGGAGTGTGAGCCACCTGCAGCAGCTGCTGGAGCTGTTGCTGCAGCAGCTAACACAGAAATCTGTCCAAGTTGGTGTGTGCTTAGATGCGCTGCAGCCTTTGGGGTTTTATTTAAGGGGCTCGAAGCTGTTGAGTTGTTCAACAGATACACCTCATTCATCGCTTAAGAAGGCTAGCAGCAGGCGGCAGTCTGCAGCAGGTGCAGCAGACAAAGCAACTGCTGCTGCAGCTGCAGCTGCTGCTGCAGCTGCTGCTGCACAGGTTGCTGCAGCAGAAGCCATTAGGGACACCGAAAATGCAGGAGGAGCAATAGAACGCCTGCCAACAAACCAGCAGCAGCACCAACTGCAGCAGCAGCAACTGCAGCAGCAGCAGCTTAAAACACAGGCGGAGCAGCGGCAAAACCAGCAACACCACCAGCGACTGCAGCAGCAACAACAAGAGCAGCAGCAACCACAGCAGCAACAGCCAACGGAAAAGCAGGCTGCACGGCCTCCGTCCAAGTTAACACCTAATGCAGGGCCTTCTAGTGTAAAGAAGCAGCAGCCGCAGCAGCAAAACGCCCCTGAACCTCCAACGGCAAATCCTCCAGCAGCAGCAGTATCAATCAATACAGCAGCAGATAAGGCTGCTGGTGCTGCTGCTGCGCTCAAGAATGCCCCAGCGGGTTCCATACCGAAGGCAGCAGGAATTTCTTTATCGGCGCCTGCAGCAACTGCCAATAAAGAAGAGGTACTTGCCCCAGCTGCGGCATCAGCGGCAGCTGCAGCAACACCACCAGCAACGTCAGCCCCAGTACCACCTCTAGCACCACCACCACCTGCAGCAACAGCACCAGCACCTGCAGCAACAGCAACAGAAACAGCAGCAGCAACAGCAGTAGCAACGGCTGCAGCAGCAACAGCAATTGCTCCTGAAGGTGGTGCCGCTACAATCAGGAAAAGACAGAAGAGAAAACCAGGACAGGAAAATGGAGCTGCTGCTGCTGGTGTTGCTGCTGCTCCGCCCGTAAGAAAGCGCAGACGGCCGCAACAGCAGCAGCAACAACAACAACAGATGCCTCCAGATGAACAGCCAGCCAACCCCAAAGGGCCTAAGCAGCAGAGCGAGTCGCACCAAGACCTTGCTGCCCAGCAGCAAAAGCAAAAGTCGTCGGAGTGCCTGCAAGGAGCCGCAGCAACTGCAGAAGAATCAGCATCGCCAACAGCAGTAGCAGCATCAGAAGCAGCAGCATCAGAAGCAGCAGCAACAACGCCAACGCCTCATGCAGCAGGTTCTTGCGAGGCACGTGCGGCGTCAAAGCTTCCTGTCTGCACAACAGCCAGCGCATCTCCAACAAAAACAACTCCTACTGTTGTTGCTGCTGAGGGCGCAGCTCCACCAGCACAGTCACCCAGGGGTGCTGCTGCAGCTAAGCCTGCCCACCTGACCCAAAAGGATGCAACAGCAGCAGCAGCAGCTGGTGCTGCTGCAGCTGCTGCTCCAAAAACGACATTGAAGTCAGAACTACAGGCAGGAGCAGCAGCTTCTGCCAAAGCACCACAAGCACCCGCAACAACAACAGCGACGGCAGCAGCGGCCGCACCGGCAGAATCAGAATTGGTGTCACTTCCTGCTCTGCTGCCAAGGGGCAAGCAGAAGCAAGCAGCAATATCTCCAGCAGCACCCCCCGGAGACCGGGTGCAAAATGGAGGCTCTCCCAATAGGGGACCAGCCCGAGGTGCACCAGCAGCTGCAACAGCTGCGACAACTGCTGCGTCTGCCTCTGCTCCAGGCCCTACGTTGGGGGATGCCACTCCTGGTGCCCTTAACAGCCAGCAGCAGGCAGTTGTTCTTCAGCGAAAGCAGAAGCAGCAGCAGCAGCAAAAGGGTCCACAGCCTCTAGCGCGCCAACTGAGTCCACAGGTTCAGCAGCAGCAACAACAACAAGCGAAAGTGCCATCGCCAAAGGGCGGGAGCGTCGCAGAAGCTGCTGCAGGGGCGACGCAACGGTCGCAGCAGCAGCCGCAACAGCATCAACAGCAACAGCAGCCAAAATCGGAGGAGCAGCATGAAAAGCAGCAGCAGCAGTTGCTGCAGCGGCGGCTAAGACAGCGTCTGCAACAGCAGCAGAGAAGAAGAGTAAAGGCGGCCTTAAATAGTGGCCTGCAGCGAGACACGAAGCCCAAGCCAAAAGCCCCCCGCAGCAGCAGCAGCAGCAGCAGTAGCAGCAGCAGTAGCAGCAGCAGCAGCAGCGACGAGGCAGGGGCACTGAAGGAGCCTGCAAAGCCGAGACCCCGCAGCAGCAATGGTAGCAGCCGCAACAGCAGCAGCAGCACTTCCGGAAACAGCAACACCACAAGCAGCAGCATCATCCAGAAGGTGAAGTTTAGCAGCAGCAGCAGTAAGCTCAGCAGCACTAGCAAGACAGGCGGCGCAGCAGCAACAAACAGTCCGCAGCAAAAGCCCAGCATGCAGCGGCAGCAGGTGGAGGTAAGGCCTAATCCTGCAGCAGCTGCTTCTGCAGCAACCGCAGCAGCAGGTGTAGCAGCAACAGCAACTAAACTGGCTGCCACAGCAGCAGCCAGTGCTGCAGCAGCTCGTGCCTCCTCCTCCTCTTCAGCGCCAGTAGCAGCACTGGCGATAGAGGCAGGAATGGCGAAAAGAGCAGCAGGAGCAGCAACAACGAGTGTAAAGGCAGCAGCAGCAGAGCCACCTGCTGCTGGAGCTCCGAGCAAACCGACAGCAGAAGTTGCTGCTGGTGCAGACGGGAGGAAGCGAGACCGGCCGTCGCCTGTACATGCTGGAACAATAGCAGCAACAACTGCAGCAGCTCCTGCACCGGCTCGAGGCTCGAAGGCAGCATCTAGCAGCATCTCACCAGCAGCGACCCCTGCAGCAGCAACAGCAGCAACAGCAACAGCAGCAGCGGCAACAGCAGCAGCAAGGGCGGCTCCCGCAGCAGCAACCAAATCTGGGGCAACAGACTGTGGGTCGAAGGTACTGCCTGCTTCTGACCTTACGATGAAACCAGCTGTCTCCAGGAAACCCTCAGCTCCAGCACCAGCAGCAGCAGCACCTGCTGCTGCTGCTGCTGCAGAGGACAGCGACAAAGATCCGTGGCTGCCGGAGGCTGCTGCTCCTGTTGGCGCTGCTGCTGCAGCTGCAGTTGCTGCTCCATGTGAGAGGCTGTCTTCGTCGTCAAACGAGTCAAAGTCTTCTAAAGAAGTATTTCCAGGAGGATTGCGCCCCAGTCAAGCAACAGCAACAGCACCAGCAGCACCAGCAGTAGGCAGGGACAAGTCGCAGTTATCAGGAAGGCAGCAGCCATGGGAAGGAAGACTGCCTAGGCCCTGTAAAGAGCTGTCTCCGAGCAGCACCTGCAACAGACAGAGGCGGCGCCAGCGCAGCCGTAGCAGAAGCGACCACAGCAAAAGCAGTAGGAGGAAGAGCAGCAGCAGCAGCAGAAGCAGAAGAAGCAGTAGCAGCAGCAGGCGCCACCATGTGAGGCCTTCGACACACTTTAGGCGCAGCCGTACTAACAGCAGGGATGGCAGCCGCCCCCGTGAGCGGGCCCACCCTGGCCACTGGAAGCGCTGCGGTAGCAGCAGTAGAAGCAGCAGTAGAAGCAGTAGCTGCAGCAGACGCAGGCGTCGGAGCAGCAAATATCCGTTCGAAACCAGACACCGAGAAGACCGAAGAGGTAGGCCCAACATGGAGTCACCCTCAAGGTGGCGAGGCGGTCACTACCGCAACAGCAGCAACAGCAACAGCAGGAGCAGCAGGCAGTATCCCGGCCATAGATACCGTAGCCCCTCTCCTCGTGGAGACCGCTACGGCCGCTTAAGGATGCATGCGCCCTACTACCCGCACCAGCGGCAACAGCAGCAGCAACAACAACAACAACAACACCGGAGAGAGCAACAACGGAGTCGTGTGTCTCCAGGGGAACGTTCAGGGTCTCCCACAAGAGGCAGAAGAAGCAGCAGCAACAACAGCAGCAACAGCAGCAACAGCAGCAACAACAGCACTCAAAGGTTCACCAGCCATACAGCGCATGCTGTCAGCGGCAGGACGTACACAGAGTTCCGAAGCAAACAGGAGGGTAGCGCCACCACCAGCGGCAGCAGCAGCAGTAACAACAACAGCAGCAACAGCTACAGCAAGCGAGACAGCAAGAGCAGCAGCGCGATGTATGAGGACGGCACAAAGCACGCTGCTGGCAGCAGCGACGGCAGCAGTGCCTGTGTAACCAGCTCCACCAGCAGGCCTGGCCCGGGTAGCAGCACTGGGAGCGGAGATAGCAGCAGCACGGCCAGAAGAGACGAATACAACAGCAGCAAATTTGGCGCGCGCAACAGCAGCAACAAGAGCACCAGCAGCGAAGCCAAGCCCGAAGAAGAGACAGCAGGGACCAGCAGTAGCAACAGCAAAGGCAGCAGCAGCAGGAACGACCGAGACGACAACTGCACGGAACCGACCAGGGGCGCATGCCCCAGTAGTGATAGCAGTAGCAGCAGCAGCAGTAGCAGTAGCTGGCGTAGCAGCAGCAGCAGCAATAACAATAAAGACGGCAACAGTGGCTTTGGCGCCCAAGCAAGCGGCAGCTGCAGCAGCGAAGTTCCTTGTATGAGTCAAACAGCATCCGCAGTTCGCAGCAGCAGCAACAACAGCAGCAGAGGCGAGAGCACCAGCAGGAGCAACAACAGCAGCACCAAGGCCGAAATACACACAGTCCAAGAGCAGCGTGATATTTCTACTGCTGCGGCAGAAAGCCCTATAGTAGCGGCTACTGCAAGTCTAGCTTCTGCATGCAGTCCTATACAAGAATCCCCGCAGCAGCTGCAGCAGCAAGGAGAAGAAGAAGAACGAGAAGAGGAACTGGAGAGGGAGCTTCATGCAGTGGAGCAACACGAGGTGCTCGAGCAGCAGCAGGAGCAGCAGCAGTACCAACCAACAGAGGTACAGAAGCAGTTACCAGAAGAAAAGCGGCAGGTGCAGCAGGAGGACGAAGAGGAACAGGAGGAGGGGCAACTGCAGCACAAGCGTACAGAAGACGTTAGTCCTGCTGCTCCGGAGAGCGACGACAGCAGCAAAACATCCAGCAGCGGTATACGCATGAGGATCAACAGCATCACAGGTGGCAGCAACAGTAGCACCAGCAACAGTAGCACCAGCAACAGTAGCACCAATAACAGTAGCACCAGCAGCAGTAGCAGCACTAACCGTAGCAGCGGCAACAGCGACAGCGAAGACGACAGCGAGGCGCCGACTTCGCTGCAGCAACCGCAGCAGCAAACGAAGCTGCAAAAAGAAACACAGCAGCAGCAAGAAGTCCAGGAGGGACAGCAGCAACAGGAACTGCAGCAACAGCACAAAGAGCAACTGCAGCAACAGCACCAAAAGGAAATGCTCCGACAGCAGCAACAGGAACTGTCGGACCAGCAACAGCAGCAAAAGGAACTGCAGCAGCAGGAAGATGTCCAGCAACGGAGCCCACAAGAGCAGCCGCAGCAGCAGCAAATGGAAACGCCTGCAAGCAGTAGCATTTCTGCTGGTCCGGATGCTGCTGCCTCTGCAGCAACGGAGGCCGCTTCCTCAGCATCAGCTCCAGCTGCAGCAGCACCGCAGCGTTGCCGCCCTAGTGAAGAGCAAGAGAGAACAGCAGCAGCAGCGGCTGCATCAGCAGCAGTAGCAGCTGTAGACGAGCGTGTTGTTGCTGACTGTTGCTCCCTTCGAAGAGCACTTGAAGAGAAACCAGCGGTAAGGAGCACCCGCCGCAGTAGTAGTGGTAGTAGCAACAGTGCCAGAAGAAGCAGCACTAACAGCAGCAGCAGCAGAAGAGAAAGAGAAAACGGGCAGTTGCGTTTGTTTTTTAGTGTTTTTCTTTTGTCTTGTTTGTTTTTAGAATTCATCAGAAATTCATCTTTTGCTGCGAGCAGCAAAACATTTGCTGCTGCAGGAAGCATCGCAGGAAACACTCATGCATTGTCTTAAGGTAAGCAAATACATGGATGTGTATAATATATATATATATATATATATATATATATA